GATTTGATATTTCTTGTGGAAAGTTGTTAAGAAACCTTTTGATGCCTTTCCAACATCCTATTTGGTGGAGCATGGTTTAAGTGTGGCTATTCAACTTAGCTCCAACCAAAGGAAATTGGCTCTAGAGTACTTAATGAGGAGTCCTGTTATGAATTTTATCCTGCCATTGAAAAACTGGTAACACTTCACCAAGCACATCCATCGCATTTAAACAGTGAAGAAAGGAAGATACTGATATTAAAATATGTCATATATAAATTCTTGATTTATAAATTATCCTTTCAAAAACTTGTGGACATGGTACTGTCGTATCAAGATAATAAACTTGATTTGTAAAATGTTCAAAAAAATTTTTTTTTACATTTTATTTTGTTATAATTTTCTTTAAAGACTTGTGCGAAACTTATATTCTTATTTTAACTGGTTAAGGCAGGAAATGTTGGGAGAAAAAAGTTTGGGAACCACTGAACTAAATCAAGTCTTCTATTAATGGCTGGAAACATACCCTATCTTCCTCCAAACCCTTTCTCCTCTATTTAAATTACACAAAGTAGCTCAGAAAACTACAAACATAAAGAGGCTTCTGTTGCAAAAATTGATATTTGTATTTAAATAACATATAGTTTATGAAAAAACTTGTCAAAAGTGTTTTCATGTAGGTTCTACAAGTTCAACGCTAAACAAATGTTAAGTCTAAATTGAATTTATTTTGTTTAATTATGCAGATTAAGAAAGTACCTTGAGTCTATCATTTTCTGCATACAATCTAAGCACATGTTCCCTTTCTTGAAATAAGTAGATTTGCATGTCACTCAAGGCTTTTTGTAGCTCAACAATCTCTTCTTCTCTTTGACGCAACTCCCACTGCAATGTGTGCTGACAAAAGTTTTTTTGAAAATATGGTCTGTGAAGTAACTAATTCTAAAATCTTTCAAGCTTTCAAAATTGGCATCTCATTTTATCTTGTCTTAGCCAAGGAAATAATCAGTCAATTTAGTAAATTACGGCATTACAAACATTGAGAATTCCTCCTTTTACAGTTTAAAAATTTAAACATCAAAGTTAGCAGTAAAAACTACCTATAAAAAAGAAAATAAAGATAATAAAATTTAATTTAAAGAAGAATATTTAAATTACTTATGTTTATAATAAAAAAAAAGTATAAAAATGATGTAAACTTACCTGCTCTTCATATGCAACTCTGTATTCTTCCAATTTGCTTACAAGCTGATCATGTTCATCATCATATTCAGCTATCTTTTTACGATAATATTCTAGCAGTTCCCTGGAAGGCCTGAGATGGCCTGAAAAATGAGTTTATTTCAAAATAAAGTCTACAAAAAAATTATATGCATGACTCATTGGACTACTCTATTTGTCTTTATTTTTTAGGGAGCAACACAAATTATCTATTGAGTCTGAGAACAGCTTAAAAATTAAGATTGTCTCATGCCTTTAAAAACAGAAAAGACATTTATTATTAAATAATTATTGTTCATGATATGCACTGAATCAGAATGGAGCATTTAACCTATTTTATTGAAAATAAACACTTTAAACTACCTGTTTACTGAAAAATTAATTTTTAATAGCTCATACTGCATGTATTTTTGTATGAACGATCTTCTCAGTTAATATAATAATGAATATCCTGAATGCTCATAAAACTCATAACAGGATCATGAAAATGAGTATGGTAATTTGATCTGAAAATTTAAAATTACTCTTAGTGTTTACAGACTTTTGAAATACGGTAAGGTATATCAAAATTCTAGTGAACTTAATAATTTAATAAAGGGAAATAAAAAAAAAAAACAGCGTTCAAACTCAGTTATGTTTAACCAGTGAAAAAAAAAAAATTGCACCAACAACATGACATTTCTTAAACCATAGTTAAATCTAAAAAATGAATGCTTTTACCTAGCCTCTCATTAATATTTGGTAATTCTGGACTTCCATCTTCCTTCACTTCTCTGGGGGTCTTTTCATAGCTTTTATTTAATTGAAGAGTACTATTATATAAACTTTCATTCAATGTGTTCAAATCAAGTCTTCCTTTCAGTCCTTTATTTGTAGCAATATGTTTAGTTCTGCAAAATAAAGACACATTTTTAGTATCATTACTTGTTAATAATAATTAAATTTAAAACTAATTTTTACTAATGGAATAAATTAAGGTTTATAATTAATAAAGTGAATAAGATAATATATATATCTTTAAGAAAATCATTTTTGATTAAAAATGAATATATTTCAGTCTGTTAAATTTAGAGTAATGTTTATTTACATAAAGTTGAAAGTACATGTAATTTCATAAATAAATATGGCGTGGTTAAAACATCTCCCAAAATGATTTGAAATAATTCATAAACAGCAACTTTGATTATTTGATTTTTATTTATCCAAGTTCAACAATTTAATTCAACAGGCTTACTTATGGTAATTACAGTTCAGCCCCAATTTTAAAGGCCAATAGTTCTTATTTTATATAATTTCAAAACTCAAAAGCAGGCATGCACAATTAAAAATGTCAGGCGGGCCACAATACTTTATGAAAAAATTGTGCAGGCCTAAAAAAAATAGGAGAGAAGGAAATTTAATAAGAAAATTATGATAAAAAATAATATTTCTTAACTTCACGGGCCGCAAAGTTGGTGCTGGTGGGCAGGGCGTTCAGGCCATGTGTTGTGTAGGTCTGCTCAAAAGCATAGATTTAACCCAAAGCTTATTAATAAGCCTATGTATAAGTCTAATGAGTAAGAAGTCATTATTCTCCTCTATTTTAATCAGGAATCTTACACTCTATTCCAAGAACTAATTGAATAAAAACTAGCATTTTTTGGAGGATACATCCTAACCTCTTCATCACAGATACTTAAGACCAGCTTGATCAAGACTTTCCCTCAAAGTAAGGACAGAAAGATATAAAAATTCAGTTGTTCCCCAATTTGTTTCCATTTACCAGTATGCTAATCTGGCTGCTACAAAATCAATCAACAACTCCTAAAGTCAATATTGTCAGTATGATGGGTGAGCTTGTAATGGTATATATGAAGGCTGATGTATTTTGCTTCAGAAATACATTAGATGTCTTATGCTTAATTATTCTAGTTTAAAAATGTTGCCTTGGTGAAAACATTTATCCATGTATTTAAAATGAATATGTACAATTCCATTTATTTGGATCAATAAAACAAAAAAAAATATCATTCATAAATGATGGAGTCAATTGTCATCATAATGGGCCTAAAACAAATTAAATTTAAAGCAAAAGCTAACCCCTAATCAAGTCCTGAGTCCTACAGCTAAGACCATGATATAAAGTTATTGTTCGGACTTAATGCAAGTTTTTGTTTTCTTATTTTATATTTTTGAAAGTGGGGGAAGGGGTTCTGAGGAGGGGTCATTCTGAAACGCAAGTTATCAAATATTTCCTAAGCTGTTGCGCAGACACCCATTTCCAATACAATTTAAATAGTAGTCTCCCTTTTGTTAACAAATTTTAGCATACAGATACTTTGATTTTCAACTAATCAAAAGATGGCACTTTTAGCGCACATCTTTTTCTCCACCAGTTTTGGGTATCAGCAAGGATGTGTTCCTTTTTTCATTTCTTTTTAAACTTGTAAGTTGAATATTAATAAAAATTAAAAGAAAATTTCATTTTAATATACTTTATATTAACCATATCGATCATCAGATTTAGTTTATGACACGAGTAATGCTTGAGAAAGTTATTACACACATTGTTCTCAGGTTCAACAATTGGTCTATTCACTTTAAGTCCAGTGTGAGTGTTGGGATTCCACATCACTTCTTAGGGTAGGGGGAGACAACCCTTGGGAAAACCCATATTGTTGGTAACCAAATATTTGCCTACATTTTTATATCTTACTCAAATTAATCTTACCCTCATACTTACATTAACTTGATTAGTATTATTTATGAAAATAATTGACATGTCAATATGACTTAAAATCAGTACAGCCAATTGCAATATAATATTATTTAAATATTAAATTTATTATTATTATATTTTTTAGCCTACCTACTAAATACTAAATAGGCTTCACTCAATTCCTAAAATACTAAATAGGTTTACTTCTTGAAGTTCATCAACTTCTTACGATAACATTAAATTATCATTAAATTACAACAAATTTAAAATTTAAAAAAAAATGATTTTGAAAATATGGTTTTTCAGAGTAAATGTTCGAGTTTGCATTGACTATTGACAATTGAGTTGTTTAAAAAATATAACTAATTAGGCAGGCAATGTTAAAGTTCTTTTAAAATATAAATGTTATTCAAAAAATTAGAATGTCTTTAAAAAGTTCTGCTCTTCAATAAAAAATCCTCGAAATCGAAAATTTTACTTAACTTAACTATGACGTTATTTGTAAAAAAAAAAAAAAAAAAGTGAACTGGTTGCTAACAAAAAAAATTAGAATGTCTTTTAAAAGTTTTTCTCTTCAATAAAAAATCCTCGAAAATGAAAATTTTAATTAATTTAACTATGACGTTATTTATAAAAAAAAAAAAAAAAAAAAAAGTGAACTGGTTGCTAACCTAGAGTTTGGGTGCGACGCCATTTTGAACATCTGGAATAGTCCAGCAACAAATATAAAGGTCAAAACAATTTTCACAAAATAATTCGCGTAAAAAATAAAAACATCCTTTTGCAAAATTATTATTTATTTTTGTATTGTTGTATAGATATAATTCTATACAACATTTATTTAAGATGGCTTTACATATGTTTGGGGTCAAATGTATATTAATCTTTCCTCCGTAAACATACAATTGTGTATTATTACGACAGAATTTGCATATCCATTAAATGTCTTTGTCACTAAGATTATTTTATTTGGGGGTTTTATTTTATGCATTGAATAAAAAATATATTTTAAAGTAAATTAAAATAGAGTTTTATGATGCCTGTAAATTCCTTTTGATATTTCCTAGAACTAATTGTTTCTGCGTTCTTTGACTGTTTGGTATGTTGTTAGGCACTTCCAGCATTGCCGATTTCAGGATGTTGTTAAAGGATTTAGTGTGATGTTTTTTCTTCTCGTTATGGATTTATCGTAAAGCTTTGTTTATTTACACTTCGTAGTTTAAGGTACCATGGATGCCGTCTCTAACGATCCGTATGTTAACTTCAGACCACCTCCTGAAGCTCCTGTCTTTACACCAACAGAGGAGGAGTTTGCTGATCCGTTAGGTTACATAGCAAAAATAAGGTCGATTGGATTGCAAACTGGTATTGTGAAAATAAAACCACCACCGGTAAGTTAGTTTACTTTAAATACCATTTATCGTTATTATCTACCACCTCTTATAATATGTATGTTGTTGTAGTCAACGTTATCTACGTGTTAATGCGTGAAGTTAGCAAAGATGTATTCTACGTGCGCTTTTACAGTCTTGAGATGGCGACTACCCACCGACGTCAGCCACCGTTTCTCACCATTCCAATGTTGCCTACGACTGCTCAGGCAGGCCTCGTCCTCAGTCCGTGCAACCATTTGGGAGGGTGGAGTATCGTCAATATGCCCCTAATGCAATCCTTATTAACAATATTTTGTACATCAATGAATATGATGCATAATTGATTTTAAATTTGTTTGGAAGTTTTCTTTTAAAGGTTGTCTTAATTTTAAAATGATATATTTTAGGCCTATTTAGTAGGCAGAGTCCTTTCCTTTTTGACTTTTTCCAAAGTTTGGGTAGGCCTTCATATTGTATTCATGTCATGATGATGTAGCCTTAAATTGGATAGTCTTACAATAAAGTCACATATAATGAATTATGAGGTCTCTTGTATCTGTACTTGTGTAGTAGTAGTTGTAAATATTAATTTTGTAGGCTAATCTTCCTGAGTTTTTTTTTTAAAGGCAAGGTAAAATTAAATATTAACATAGACATTGACATAGAGTTTGGAATAATTAGTTAAATTAGTTGGTAATTATAAATCCCAGGCCTAATTAATTTAGTTTCCAGGTCAGGTTGACATAGGCTTTTTGATAATCTTTAAAATTTAAAAAGTTGATGTCAAATCATATATTTTTATTAAACTCTTCTCCTTCAATAAAAAGGTCCATTAATATTCTAATTAATCTAATGGTCAGTCCTTACCATTCAATGACAATGGCTAAAACATAAGCGTACCGGTATATAGGCCTATAGTATAGCCCATTGGCACTGGGACATTCATTCTGGAATATATAAATATTATTAGTGTAATGAAAAGTAATGCAAAGCTTGTGACTTGTGTAAGAAATTTCCTTTTTTTTAAAAAAAACAATATTTTAGGACTGGCAACCACCATTTGCTGTGAATGTAGAAACTTTCAAGTTTACCCCAAGAATTCAAAAGTTAAATGAACTAGAGGTCAGTAATTTTTTTTCTTCTTCAGTTGATTAAAATACATGTTCATTCCTGTGTTTGTAAATGTTAATGTGGTTAAATTATCATTTTGCAATTTTAAAAAAAAATTAAGTACTCTGACAATTAAAAACAACATAATGCAAAAAATATTTTCCCATTATTTTTTTTATATCATTCAAGAATTTACTGTTGTCTTCTCACTTTCTTTGTCAAAAAATTTACATGAAATATGTTAACTAAGTGCTGGCTTGACTACAACCTAAGGATTTTATATATTCTGAAGTTAACAAATATAAAATTAAAAGGAAAGATTTTGGCAGCCATCTTGGAAAGGTTGGCCAAAGAGTCTACAGTCAAAGAAGTTATGAACAAATCATATTATAATTAGCCTTAGTTAAGTCTTTTTACCCCCTAAAAAGCCCTCTCCTTTGTCATTATTAATCAATCAAAATATAAAATTTATACAAATATTTGTTTTATTACTTTTCATCAGGCTCATTCTAGAATTAAACTGAATTTCTTTGATTGCTTGTACAAGTTTTGGGACCTCCAGGTTAGTGGTTTTGTTATAGTTTTACTCATACTTTCAATTGTTTTAAATATCTATTAGCAATATTATTTTCTTTTGAAAGATTATTGCACCTAGCTGCAGCAAAGTTTTCAGTTTCATAAATGTCAAAATCAAGACTATCGTCTTCTTTGAGGGTTGAATCAAGATTTTTAGAAAATCTGCTCTTTTATTGTTATGATCACTGATTGTTTAAAAAAAATTTATTACAAACATGGTACGGCTCTATAGCCAGTTGTGGGATGACCTTGGAGTTGGATGCTTTTCACTGTTAATATCTCTACTATATATTCATTTTTATCAGGGATGCACATTAAAAATTCCAACAGTGGAGCGGAAGATATTGGATCTATACAAGCTGTTCAAGGTAAGATTAAACTTTGATCATTCTTGCTTTGGAGTTATTTTGGAGTGCTATTCTATTGTGAGGATTTGTGATTCTGGATCAGTGTGAAATTTCTCCTGGATTTATTTTATTTTGCCTGCAATACTTAACATAAGGAGTCAGGGTGTGTTTTAGACTTGATTAAATTAGCTTATTTAGAGTGGTTATCTTATTCTTTAGGATCTTTATTTATTAGAAAAAGCAGACAAGAATTTATTGCAAAATGAATCTTTTCAAACTCTCATAAAGTTATATAATCCTGTGTATTTTGTGTGGACTTCTGTGTTTTCATTCAATGGAATTCAGTCATGGATGACATTATTTGTGCTCAGAAAGGTTTGTACCTGCTTTATTCTTTATACTTATTTTTAATGAGCTAAGCAAACACCATTCTAGATAAAAGAAAACTACTTTTTATAACAGCCATTTTGATTGTAAATATAGAAGCAACAATCATTTTAAAAGTAATTAAACCAAGTTTTTTTCTTAGTACCAGTACTTAAGCCAATGGCATAGAGAAATAGGTATTAAACTTCTTAATCTTATAAAATATAGTTAAGGCTAAGGAAATGTTTAGGACTATCATTGTGTATATTTTTTAAAAAATCAGCCCCCCTCCCCACCATTCAGAAGGAAATGTAAAACAAGTTAGTTAAATTATAGAAGCCTGTCCAGGGCTACTGGTTGAATTGGTCTGTACTCTCAGCCCTGTCTAGGAGAAAAAGAACAATGCAAAAATAGCCCAATAAAAGCTTAAAATTGAGAATTAATTGTTTAAGTTTATACATAAACATGACCCTCCCTCCCGATAAGAATAAACAAAAAAATGCTTTGTGTTCACATTCACATATGCGGAGGGCTAATGGAAATTATAGAGTGCGCTGTGGGAATGGTAGTTGTAAGTCTTATCGGATCAAAATGGCATGAAATTGAAATAGTCCCATTTTGGCTTGGCGACGTCATCGATTCCCCTTTTCTGAAGTAGCAAAAGTAGTGACACCAACTTTGTTTTTTTTTTTCGGGGGTGGGGGGATGTTTGCTCAGATTGTGTATTAGTTTCATTACTTCAAAGAACATAAACAAATATTTTTATCTATTAATTTGGGATGCTTTTTGGAGAAAGAATAAATTCTGTTGCTATGTCGGTTGCGTGATATAATGGAGCATATTGATTGGTTGATTGTAGCTAGCAAGGCCTGAAACGAACTCGGGTCTGGTGACAGGGAACAAAGAAAAATTCTTAACTGGAGCTCCGATTATGCTATGCTAACCAATAGGGTTATTACAGTAGATTTTCAATGGTCTATTTTTCAGCGTTGGCTGGTCCCATAACCATTCGATATATAAATATACTGTGTGTGTTTGGTAGGGGGAAAAATGGGGGGGGGGGGGTGTTCTCACCTGGCTTTCTATTTTTCCAGCAAAGAAAAAAAATAGACGGAAATCAAATTATTAAAAAGTTTTATTATTTAAACAAATATTTCCTACCCCACCTCTAAAAAAAATAATAGAAGTATTAAAAAAATTAACGCGTCTACTGTAAAACAGTTAAAGGTGGTTTTTAATTTTATAAGAATTCATGGGTCGTGGGTGGGTGACTTTAGACCTAGAATATCCTAATTTATCAGCATCAATATATAGTTTATATAAGGGCTTTTAAAAGTTCACCAAACATTATAGCTCCACATCTATAAAAGATAGAAAGATGAATTTTGTGTTTTTTCAAAGATTATTGATTAATATAGATTGTCCTTAAATATGATAAATGATTTATGATTATGGGAATTGGGCATGAAGTACATAATCAAGTATGCTACTGGGCATTATTTTGGAGTTGTTATTTATTTTTTTAATTTTTTAAATATTTGGTATAAAACACCCTCACCCATGCATACTTAATATAAAATAGTAGCTATGGGGGTCGTCCATTAATTACATCAACAATTTTTACGCAATTTTTTAACCCCCCCCCCATATTTAATTATGTTAACCCTTATTTTTTAACCCCCCCCCCCCAATGAATTAATAATATTAATAAATTATAAATACATTTTACTTTGTGCTGATCTATTTAAAATGACACATAAAATTGTAGGGAAAACATTTTATTTCATGTTTAGCTTGTTACTCAACAAGTTAAAAAAATTTTTACACTTAAATTTTATAAAGCAGAATCAATTAAAAGGTTGTTAAGGACTAAATATCATTGTATGTGAAAGTATAAATATGATTTTTGTCAGTATAGCTGACAATTATAGTATAGTTTCTAGCTGCTCTTATCTTCCCAGGTAGTAGCCAGGTGTTGCTGAATCGTAACAATGGGCATCAGGGAATTCATTCAGCACTAACCATTCAGCACTTAAAATAGAAGTATTGTGGGTGTGAATAATAATTGCCATAAGCTCTCTCAGTATTTGAGTTGGTATAGTTGTTATTGAACACTGATGAGGTGGTGTTTTTTTAAAATTGAACACTGTTTACAATGATGTGTTTATCATTCTAGGGAGCGGATTAAGAGAAAAATGACTTCTCTTGCACTAACAAAGTGTGCTAACATTCTGACCAACCATCTGCAGTGTACAGAAAGACACACATTAAATAACTCTTATTTTGTTAAGAGCCTAAACATATATGACTATTTATACTCATTAAATTGTTTAAAATAATGTAGGAACCAGTCAGTTTTTAAGATTTTTTTTTATTTAATATAAAAAAAAAACATGATTGTTTACTTCAAAAACGTTTCCACCCCCCCCCCCTTATTTTGTTTAGGTAATTAATGAATGCCCCCTATTTCCACCCCTACTTACTTCAATTTGAGTTCATTTATTGATTTACTGTACACTTTTGATAATGAACATTATGACCAAACACCATTATTGCCAACATGATTAATTATTTACATTTTAAAAAAAAATTAAAAATAGAAGCTCTGAGAACCTTTTTGAATTTATTTAGTCATTTTATGGTTATAATTTAATTAATTTATGTCTCTGGGTTTCCTGGGTTAAAATAACATCAAACTAAATCACCAGTAGCATCTCAAAGCTTGGAAATAGGCTTTAAAAAAAAATTTAAAACAAAAAAAAAATTAAATATAATAACTTTAGCATAAACATCTTCTATAACTCATCTATTTTTTCACTTACTACCCTAATAATTTTTCACATGTAAATGTAAGTGCATTTAAAAGCAGATTGTTTAGAATAAATGTACATCTTTTAGTCACCTAGAGAAAATGTTCCTAGAATCTAAGGAAATGGCTTCCCTCTTTAAAGACGAATCTAATCTCTATTATAATTTCATATATCAGGTCTCTTGTTACCCTCATTTATTTTAAAAGCCCATGGCTGCATACAATTTTGGTCCCTTAGCGTTTTGCTTTCCTTAGGAAGTAAGTCCGTTTGGAGTGTGGGTTTTAATATGCTTTTTCTTTCAAATAAATGGCTTAAATTCTACTTTTAATGATATATATACAAAGTGCAACTTATATACTAATTGATACAAAAAAATTTCTGTTAGTCTGTAGAGGAAGAAGGTGGCATGGAGTTGTTGAACAGGGAGCGACGCTGGTCTCGTGTTGCCAACAAAATGGGTTATCCACATGGGCGAGGAGTTGGAGGAACACTCAAACACCACTATGAGCGTATATTATTTCCCTTTTATTTGTTCAAGAAAGGAGAGACTGTAAAGTTTATCCCCGAGGTAAAATGGATACAAATATTAAAACTATTTGCTTATTCTAAATTTTACAAATTAAATCACACTTTTTTGTTTGTTTGTTGCATTGTCTGCTATTATATTTCGCAGCAGAAATGTGTTGTTCTTGATAAACTTGATTATAATGCATTAAATATTTATCCATTGTTTTTATTTTGCAGCAGAAACCAGTTGTTCCTGATGAACATGATAAAGCTGACAAAGACTACAAACCCAATTGGAAGATCAATGCAGACAAGGAAAAAGGCCGGAAGTCAAAGCGTTCAGTCAAAGAGGTTAATTATTCTTGTTATTTTGTTGCTAGGCCAAGTTGTATTTGTATTCTATCTTTCCAATTAAAGTCAGGATTTGAACAGATCTTTCTACTTCACATTAATTTTTTTTCAGACCAGTAATTAAAATAAAATTACATTATATACATGCTTATTTCTCAGATATACCACATATTGTAAAGAACTGTAGGTATTAGCAAAGTACAAGATGCAAAAAATATAATTTTGTCTTTGTAAACAGAAATAAAATTTAATTTAAAAAAATATTTATCAAATCCTGGCTTTGTTTTATGTTATATCTTGCGTGTCGCAACTCATTTTACTATTGCTTCGAACAATTGACCTCTCCTACTCCATCTTCATATGAGCGTATTAAGAAACAGAGGAGTTTCTCATCATGAATCATATAAAGTCGATCTCATTAGATTCTAATGTAACCTCAATTGGGCTATTTCAGAGCCCATCTCCATCACTTGATGATTACGAGTGCTTGATAAGAAAGGTCAGCAATTTTCTAATTATTCTCTCTTTAGCTTTACAAAAGAATCAAATTTTCCATGTGCAGCATAACTAGGTAAACACAAAGTTACACATTTATTATAAAATTTCATACTTTTTTTTTCAATAATCTCCATTTACACAAAAAGGGATTCATCACAAACAGTGGTAAAGGATTGGGGAGGAGGCAGGACTTTTTTTTGTGGTATAAATAGGTTCCCTATTTTCGGCCAACTGCAGAGTTGTTTTTTTCTGTTTGGGGGTTGGGGGGGGGGGGGCAAATTTTTTGACCTGCCCAGAACTGCACTAACCCTTACTATGACACTCATCCCAATCAAACCTAAACAGGATAATATTTATAAAAAGATGTCTCCAACAATCCTAACCATCATTTGTACAGATCTTTCTACTTCACATTAATTTAGGAGCTACAACGTTCCTTCAGCAAAGACAACAAACACTCATATTTGTAAAAATATTAACCTAAATAGTACTTATTCAAGACTGCCAAGAATAGTCTTTTTTTCAGACTAATGTGGTGCAAATAAGACTGGCCAGATAAAAATTTAAATCTATTTAAAATTTATAAGCACAATATATTTTATAAAAGCTTGCTTCATAGGGTGCCTGGGAATGCTTAAGATTTTGCTGTCCTTAGATTATACCTCCTTCAAAAGAAACAAGCTGAAAAATATGTTTTTGGTTGATGTTGATTTTTAAAAATCATTTTGTACATTTGTTGCAAAGAGAAGAATTTTAGTTGGTATTAATGCTCGAAAATGTTGTTTGTGTCATAAGAAAATTAAGGATTAGCAAATTTTTTATTATTATGTTTTTAATTTAAGCATTAATGAATCTATTGAAGGTGCTTTCTGTTTTGCATGGATTCATACTTTTGGTTTAATTTTAAAAAATGACACTTTAATTTCACTGTTTTAATAAAATTTTGGTGCTTTGCCTCAGATCTAAAGCTACTTGATGTTTGTTGCTAAACATATAATTTGTTTGTAAATGAACAATTTTCAGGACCCTGATATTGATTACAGCAAAAATAGTGAACTCAAGAAATTACAGTTCTTTGGTGCAGGACCCAAGGCTGCGGTTCCAGGATCAAAAGGTTTATGATGCTTCCTTTTGTTGACATCATTTCTTATCTATTAACAAGTATAATCTTACAAATCCCTTCCACTTTTGTATCAGAGTTTAATATAGTAATTTCACTGATGCTTGAAAGCATAATCTTTTGTAAAATAAATCTGTATTGTTGACCTAAAATGAGCCTCTACTATATTCTTACCAGATGAGGTAGACTTTAAACCTGAAGAAAAGGTTGATAACCGTAAGAGCAGGATGAAAATGTCAATTCCTGGAGCTTATTCTGGGGTAAGATTCACTAATTCTTTAAATGAAAAAAAATTATAGTGTTATTTTCTTGAAACCTCTGTTACTGTAAACTCCAAAATTTAATTTGTTCAGACTTCTATCAGTGATCCAAATGTATCAAGGATGTTTTTTTTAATATTCAAAGGTTAGGGCAAATGATCTAAACATGCTATAATTTGTGTAGGCTGACAAATACTACTGTCATATGTGTGGGCGTGGTGATGGAGAGGAACAAATGCTTTTATGTGATGGCTGTGATGATGCATTTCACACTTACTGCCTAGTGCCTCCGCTTGCTGAAGTACCAAAAGGAGACTGGCGGTGTCCATCATGTGTCAAACAGGCATGTTAAGAGTTTTTTAAAAACTTAAAATTAGTGCAACAAAACAAATTGCTTCAAATCAACCCAGTGTTTTCTGAATATATGCAACAGCAAGACTTTAGGTCTTGTTTTTTACTTTCTGTTAATAATAGAAAAAATTAACTGTCAAATTGAAATTAGTATGCTTTGATTGTGCAGGCTTGTAGCAAACCACTGGAGCCTTATGGCTTTGATCAGAGCAAAAGGGACTACACTCTACAGTCTTTTGGAGAAATGGCAGACCACTTTAAGGCATCCTATTTTAAAATGCCAGTTCATGTAAGTTTTCATATCAATACATTTATATTTTATAATAATAAGCAATTTTTGGATTACCAAAGATAGATACATGTTTTGTTTCATGGAATTTATAAAGAAAAATTTCAAATAAATCTGCAATTCTTTGCCAACAGAAAGTAACAACTAGTCAAGTGGAGCGAGAATTTTGGCGTTTGGTAAATAGCTTAGAAGAGAATGTAATGGTCCAGTATGGTGCTGACATCCATGCTATGGAGATGGGGAGTGGATTTCCCACCAAATACACAGAAGATTTATTACCAGAAGATGAGGTAAAAAAAATATGTCATTATAGAAAGCTTTTTTAAAATAATTGCTGATATTTTGCATTTATATATTGAGAATAATTTATTGTCAAATGACTAGTGTACATATATTTTAGCTTGGGCACTTTTATGTTGTTCCAAAGATGTTATAAGTTTTTGTCATGTCAAGATTGATTTTATTCCAGGAATATGTTACATCAGGCTGGAACCTCAACAACTTGCCTGTACTGGAACAGTCTGTTCTATGTCACATCAATGCTGATATTTCTGGTATGAAAGTACCTTGGTGTTATGTGGGGATGTGTTTCTCAAGCTTCTGTTGGCACATTGAGGATCACTGGAGTTACTCTATCAACTACTTGCATTGGTAACTATCAACTTACTATTGTAACGATTGGCAACAAATGTGGGGTATAACCACTGTTACTGGTTTATTGTCTGACAATGGATGTAATGCAATGCCTTGATGTATTTACAAAAAAAAAAAAATGAAGTGGGCCTTTTTAATATAGAATAATTTCTTTGACCTGTAATATTTATTTGCATCTAATTTGTATGGTATAATAAAAAAAATTTAATGTCATCTTCAAGTAACTTCCTTTAGATTTTTAACTTGATTATTCATAAGGACTTAACTGCTTTACTAATATTATTATGATGATATTCAATTGTATGCACTTTTATTTTTGTTTATTGGCTAGCTAATTCAATAGTTTGTTTCAACTTTTTTGTTCTATTTACTTCTATAGTACTTTTAGTACTATTTTAGATTAATGAATTTATTCACTCTAAATTTATTTTGCTGATCTATAAGGACTCGGTTTTGTTTTTTATAAATTTTTTTTGACGTTGAAGTCCGGAATCTAAACATTTATTCATACCAGTGGGGTGTTCCTGTATAAGAAAGCTCAAAAGGACTTTGAACTATTCTTTTAGGGGAGAACCCAAATCTTGGTATGGGGTGCCGGGTCCAGATGCAACAAAGTTTGAAGATGCCATGAGAGAAACTGCACCAGAGCTGTTTGAACAAGCCCCTGATTTACTGCACCAGCTGACCACTATTATGAATCCTAATATTTTAATGAAGAAAGGAGTGCCTGTATGTTAATATTTTCAGTGGTTTCTATTTCCTGATCTGTATGTTATGCTAGTCAAATCATATATTTATGTCATTAAATTAGGTAATATGTGTTAATAAATTTGAAAGAAATATAGACTGTAAAAAATCAATTTTCAAGTTCTTGTTTTAATGCTATAGTAATAATAATGAATTAAAACAAAATATTTTAAAATTTGTCAAAACATAAAACATTGTATCACCTTTTGGCAGATTTTCCGCACAGATCAGTGTGCAGGAGAATTTGTGGTGACATTTCCAAGGGCATATCATGCTGGCTTTAATCAGGGCTACAACTTTGCTGAGGCTGTAAACTTCTGTCCTGCAGACTGGGTGAGAGAATAAATATTTGGTTAATTTTTCCAAAACGATTATGATTTTCATATGCAGATCATGATTATAAAAGGCGTGCACTGTCCGTGCGGCTATTTTAAGACACTCCATGTTAATCATGATCAATAATATTGCAGTTCTACTAACTCATATATATATTTTGATTTTAGTTTAAAAAATGTATTAATTTTAAAGAGGAGCTTTCAGTTTATACTGGCTCGCAAGCCAAATTTTTTGGAACTAATGCAGTGTTAAAGGTTGTTTAGCTTGTGAGCGGGTCACGGTAGATTTTTATGATTTTCCCCAGATACATTGATTCTGTTATTGAAAAAAATGAAGAAAAAATAACTAAATGAGTCAACAAAAACCCATGCATGACACTATTTTTCCTCATTTCCCAAATGCAATGATTTGATTTACTTAGAGAGTATAAAACCTAAAATTGTATTAGATGATGATATCTGTCTTTAGAACAGTCAGGGTTTGTTACCAGCTTCAGGCCTATTTATATTTAATACTTTTAAAATGAGATCTGAAGTTAATATGTTAGCAGAATATAAGCCCTTGTAAAGTCAAGGCGTCAAAATATTTCTTTCCAAATGGCAGTCATCTATTTAGGAAATGTTCACTATGTTTACCGCATATATTGATAGACACGCCAAGCGAGTATATGCGTTATAAATAATACTTAATGTGTTAATGTTTATTAGTTTTGACATCTTTTGAATTACGCACTAATTCTTTTGCATTCATAATATTTTTAACTGCAGTGCTTCTATTAGCTTTTTATTTTATGGGGTTAGCTTATGAGCGGGTTATACACTTTTAGGGCTTTTCCCGGCCAAGTCTGAGGGGGGTTGACTTTTGAATTAATGGGCTTTAGAACGAGTAGATTTTATAGCTATTTCTATTTGAGAAAATACTGAGAATAATTTGTGATAGTATTTGAAGATTGTTTTTACAAAGCTAAAATTTTGGTTTGTTTATTACAGCTCCCTATAGGTAGGGCCTGCATTGACCACTATAGAACTCTTCACCGTCAGTGTGTTTTCTCACATGAAGAACTCATCTGTAAAATGGCTGCAGACCCAGATAGTCTTGACCTTAACCTTGCAGCTGCCACGCATGCAGACATGCTATCCATGGTAGAGGAGGAGAGGGATCTTAGGAAGGCATTGTTGGAAAGGGTAAAATGAAATTTTGCTAAACAGTCTCTGTCCAATGATTTTATAAATTGGGGTGCATTTAACTGATTGCAATAAAAACACAGTGCCCTTGTTGTGATTGAATCAAGAGCAATAAAAATAAAAAGTGATATTAAAAGTAATACATTTATTAATAATACAAAAGCCAAGACATTTATTTAAAGTCGATAGAAATGGACGACATTCTTATGTTGTTACATTTTTTTCTTATTTAAAAGTAAATAGATGCATAAAACTTACCATAAGATTAGCATTATGTCTTTATTAAAAAAAAATAATCCAGTCATTATCTTGACCATATGTAATGTGCCAGGAAGTTAGTAATAAGCCCTCTTAATAAAGAGACACTAAAGACCATATATTGTTGGTTTCAATAACAAACCAACTTGTCTCGTTATTTAAATTAACGCAATCTTTTATACCAGGGTACATTGAATGCAGAGAGAGAAGCATTTGAGCTGTTACCAGATGATGAGCGTCAGTGTGATGTCTGCAAAACAACATGCTTTCTCTCATCAGTCACATGCCCTTGCCAACCAAGTGAGTATGGCATCAGCATAAACAAAGTTTCATTTTTAATAAAAAAGTATTTTTTTCTTAGAATATTTTGAGTTATTAAAAAAAAAACCAACCCCGTTATTGAGTATAGTTTATATATTTAGTTACTTTACTTAAATTTAACTGATTAATAAATTAATAATTTGTAATATCCATGTTGTCGTTGCCCATTCTGATTACTTCTAAGATTTAAACTCTAATTGGTTCAATAAATGAATTCTATGCATCATTTTGCACATTTTTTTTCTAAATTTACTTAAAGTCCTATTAATGTGTAACTGCACAGATCGTCTAGTCTGCCTGTACCATGTTGAGGACCTCTGTGAATGCTCAGCTTCTCGTCATGTGTTACGTTACCGATACACATTGGATGAGTTGCCAAGTATGTTACATCGTCTTAAAGTTCGTGCAGAATCCTATGATAACTGGACCATGATCGTGAGAAATGCATTAGAGGCTGCAGGAGATGATAAGCTGGGTAAATTAATCTAAATTTATTTAGATTCTTGCAAATAGATTTTCAAATTGAAGATTGTCTCTCAAATATTAAGTCAGTAAATAGATTCAACAATTGATATCTACCTTAGAATATTTTGAACATTTACTCTATTAACCATGTACATTTCTTGGCCATCTCCAACTATTATTATTAGTTTTACCACTACTTTTGTGAAAAATATTTTTCAATGATTTTATGCGTCACAAAATAAGTGCATATTTGGGTTTGGTTTGTTACCACTGAACAGTGATTCTCAGAGCGCTTTAATTCTCTTATTTGGTATATTTAAACTGAAATAGATAGTGAACAGGGACTGGTGAAAAATTATTTATCCCTAACCATAAAACCCCTATGAGTAAAACCTCATAAAAAAAGGATTTTTTGTTTGTTTATGTCTCTTCAGAATTAAATCAATTAAAAGAGTTGATAGGTGAGGCAGAGGAAAAGAAGTTTCCCGAGTCTGATCTCCTCCAGACACTGATGAATGCTGTGACTGAGGCTGAGAAATGCTCTAATGTAGCTAATCAGCTAGTTAGCAAGAAAGTTAGGACAAGGTCAATTATACCATCAACTTTATTATTTACAGATATATAGAATTATTTATCTTAATTTTTTTTTTTGTAGCTTCTTTTAGAATTGAACACCCTATTTATTTAAAATATGGATACTTTATGGAATTATTAACCTTTATAAAATAGTTATTTTTTGTAGATTTCAGCTATGGTTCTGCACATCAATTGATCACTTAAATAAACATTGAATTTAAAAGTAATGATTTGGTTCTATATTTTTGTTTTTTTTTCACATAAAAAAAACAACAGGAACAGACAATCAATTGAAGGTAAATATGTGGCAAAGTTGACGCTTGATGAGCTGAACAGTTTCTATGAACAAGTTAATGGGCTTCCATGCATTATAGAAGAAACAAAATTGATCAAAGTAAGTTAGACAATGTTATTGTGGTGTCATTCAGGACTTACAGATCGATTCATATCAAAAATTAATTCCATAAAATGATTCTAGAACGTATAACCTTTGTTAATTACTTTCATCAAGTTTTCTCATTAGATAATCTTAGTAACTTATGACAGTGTAGTGGATAAAAATAGTTTTAATTTACATTGACAATGAACAGAGGATTAATTTGTAGCAAAATGACTAACTTAATCACAAAATAATTTGGAGGAGATCACTGAAATTTATGGTTAATGAGAAACCTTTATAAAAACATCCAGATTGTAAACAATTTTGTTCAATTTTTTTCTTGTCAGAAATAATTTACTGAACATTTTTATTAGGAGCTGCTTGACAAAGTTGTTGAGTTCAGAGAAGAAGTTCAAGATGCTTTAGATGCTGAGACACCTGACTCAGAACAGGTGGAAACATTGATTGAGATAGGTATCAGTCTCGATGTCGACTTACCAGAGATTCCCAAACTCAAACAGGTCAATATTATATAAGAAACTGAACTTAACTACCACAGAATTATCTGTTTATATGAAGTAATAACACTGTGTTACATTATACATTTTTAAAAACAAATCTTCAAACAGTTTTTTTAACAACTATTTTTTTGCAAAAAGCAACTTAAAAAAAAAAAATTTAACTTGAAGCACTACTGACAGTATCTACTTAATTAATAGGTACTGCAACAAGCTCGCTGGTTAGACAATGTCCGTCTATCTATGAAGGAGCCCAATTCAGTAACTCTTGATGTAATGAGGAAGTTGATAGAGTCAGGTGTCAGCCTTGCGCCGCATCCAGCTGTAGAAAAAGCCATGGCAGAATTGCAAGAGCTCTTGACAGTCAGTGAAAGATGGGAGGAAAAAGCCAGAATCTGTCTACAAGCAAGGTACAATAAAAACAAGCAGTTTAAAATTTAAAAAAAAATTAATTGACATTTTGAAATTTACTGTAATCTTCTTGTAATACACAGGTAGGAATTAAAATAGTTAAAAAGATAACCACCATTCAGGTTTGACTAATAGCATTACTTTACAAAATATTTTTCAAATGACCTTAAAAAGAAACCTAGCTTTGTCTTTTAAAAGCGATTAAAACTAATCTTCCTCTCATACTAGGTTTGGATTGAATGATATATAGTTTTTTGAGCATCTAATTATCGCCTCTGGATATGTGTTATTATTAGCTTTGAGTCACAATGCCTATGTCCTGAGTGACTGAGAAGCTCATGCTAGTTCATTTGTGATTATTCTCTTTTTTTAAAGTTTTTTGAAAATATATTAAGATTGTTAGCTTTATATTTAAATGGACATTTTTTAAAATGTTCAGTTTTTACAAAAATTCTTTGAATGGAAACCAGAATTTTAGATAAACCTTTTTTGATTGCAAGGGATAATTTATACATAATTTATTACTCAACTGGACAATGAATTTATCTGATGCAGGCCCAGACATCTTCTAACAACGCTTGAAGCTATTATAGCTGAAGCGAGGAACATTCCTGCTTACCTACCTAATATAGCTGCATTGAGGGAGTCAGTCAAGAAAGCTAAAGAATGGATTCAGAAGGTATTAAATAAATATAATATAAACAGAATATGAGTAGCTTTGTTATTAGAATTATATTGTGTATTATTTTTGATGAAACAATATTTTCTGCTAGATTTGCAAAATTAACTATATGAACTGTGCTTGTTTGCACAATCTATTTTTTGGACCATTTGTGCTCGCAAATTATTAAAATAAGTTAAGGAAGTCACAAGGATTGATTCCTTTCAACGTTACTGACGTTTAATATAAAAACAAATTTGGCATAGGTTGAAGCCATTCAGAGTGTTGAACAGTATGCTTACCTTGAGGTCCTTGAGGGTTTGGTAGCCAAGGGACGACCCATCCCAGTACGACTAGATCAACTTCCCCAACTAGAGTCTCAAGTAGCAGCTGCTAAATCTTGGAAAGAGAGAACAGCAAGAACTTTTCTCAAGAAAAACTCTTCCTTTACATTATTGGAGGTAAAATGAAACATGTTAATCATAAGCAAAGGTTTTAAGAAAACTGCTTTTATATCTGCTACTTGTCACAAACATATTTCTGACAGAGATTAATCTATTTTTAAAATTTTTTCAAAGGTCCTTTCACCAAGAACAGACATAGGAATCTACAATGGTGGTCGATGCAAGAAAAAACGCTTGAAAGATGTGGAGAAGAAAGAAGCTGACGGTGTTGTAGACTATGCCAGTGATGACAGTAGAAACTCTGGCGTGGTGAATTGACTTTCAAATATTACTCTGATCTTTACTAAAAGAGGATCTATAGAGTTGTTTCCTTATTGCTTTTCTTGAATCCCTGCTTTATTGGCATTTGTTAACAATTTTCTTTTTCTCTTTGCTTACTCCAGTCGATTCTTACTCAGGTTGCTGCCTTCAAAATGGGAGAGGTGAAAGAGGTAGAGCTAATGAGAGACCTCAGAACACGGAACATGGAGAAGCGCCATGACAGTGATGCCAAGTTTTGTGTTTGTCGAAAACCAGCCTCAGGATTTATGTTACAATGTGAACTCTGCAAAGATTGGTTTCATGGTGGGTTACGATTTATGACTCTAAATACATTTATAACATTACAATTGGGTCTTGGATTATCATGGTACTTAAAATGGTTATGGTCGGTACTGTTATCGTTTACATTGTTTGTGTTGCAGGTACTTGTGTATCATTTCCCAAGTCAGCCAGCATTAAAAACAAAACCTCACAGGCAGCCATCATGCAGGTGAGTGTCTACATTTCAAACCTTTTGTTCCAACGGTTTTCTTTAAGGTTTTTAAGAATTTGCTTTGTAGCATATGAATTTCTTGGTGACAAGCTTAAAATGTTATTCTATGAACTGTATTTTTTTTAAATTTTAGGCAACAAAAGAAATGAAGTTCCTCTGCCCATTATGTCTACGATCTCGACGTCCAAGACTTGAAACTATTTTATCTTTGTTGGTTTCTCTTCAAAAACTTCCAGTACGTATGGCTGAGGGAGAGGCTCTCCAATGTCTCACAGAGAGAGCCATGGCTTGGCAGGTTAGTAACTTTTTCAGAATTGTCTTTCATGAACGTTATTGCGTTACTGTAAACAGGTAATCACAAAATGTCATTAGACTAAGTGTTAACAGAAAAAGCTTAAAAAAGCTTGCACACTAAGAAATGGACTAAGTTTGCATTTTTTATGTTTTGACATGAACTGAAAAAAACAACAAAAAGAGTTAGCCAAGATATTTCTCATGGATTTTAAATTCTGTGCAGGATCGAGCACGTCAAGTTCTGACAACAACAGATATGGCTTCGGCCATGGCCCAGCTAAGTGTCATGAGCCAGCGTATGGTAGAGCAGGCAGCTCGTGAAAAGACAGAGAAAATCATTAATGCTGAGCTACAGAAGGCAGCCAATAATCCTGAGCTTCAACCTCACCTGGCCTCTGTAACACAGAGTGCATTTGGTAATAGAGACATATCTGCCATGTCCTTGCTTCAACATGCAAGCAATGGGGACATTGAATCCAGAGACTTTGCCCATGGCAACTTGGCAGCTAAACACCATCCACTCTATTCAGAGGATCATTCACACAGAGACTATGATTTGTCCAGGGAGGCAGGTGTGGGGGTCAACATGGATGACTGTGGTTCACCCACTCCAGGAAATATGTCACCACTCCCCCAGGCTCTAGTCCCAGCTCCCAATCCTATGTCCCAAGATATTGGAGCAGAGATTGACATCTCATCTATTACATCTCTAGGAATGTCCTCAGAACATGCTTACTCATCTGTGTCTAAGGGAGTCACAAGTAAGTGAAGTATGATAGTGCTGGGGTGCAAGCAGAATTGGTTCAATTTAATTTCGTTGAATTACAGCAGTTTCTTAATACTCTTATATAAAGTAAGATAAAAGAAATTACGGTATTGTACAGAATACATTTTTGTTTGTTTGTAAAAGGAGATGATGAGCACAAAAGCTTGTACAACTACTAGGGATAATAATGAGTTAATGATGTCATTTTAATTTTGCTATTTTAATGTTGTTAAGTATTATCACTTAAAGGAATGACTAAACATAATTTTAGTAGAGATGACGAGGAAAGTCCCACTGGATCCAAGCCCCTGAAGGAAAAAATATTCTTTCCCTGTGCAGAAAATATAAGGAAAAAAACAAGCCATAGATCAGTGGTGCACAGCATATCTGCAGCTCGTAGGTGCAGGCCATATCTGCAGCTCGTAGGTACAGGCCATATCTGCAGCTCGTAGTAATTAAATAAACATGTTCCCCACTTTCAGACGGCTCCCCTCGAAAGAACATACGCAAATCACCCCTTATCCCCCGTACTTGTGAAGTGCCCTTACTTGATGTGGCTGAGACCAAGAGAGCTCAGCTGGAAGAGTTGATGATGGAAGGCGACCTTTTGGAGGTCTCACTTGATGAGACACAACATATTTGGCGTATACTGCAGGCCTGTTACACACGTACAGAGCCAAATAGATACTCTGACATGGAGGTTAGTATGATGTGGCTTTGCCAGGGGTTAGTTTGTGTTCAATGAGTCACTTTAGCAAAGAGGTTAAAAAACTGAGTTAATCTCAGGGAACCGATGACTTTTATAATAGGTAATGAAGACGCTATGTAGACTAAGAAGATTTTTGACCAAAAAAAAAACAGAAAAGGGTCTGTATAACTTGTATAATAACTTAAGTTGTCCTTGTTTTTGTGTTTAATATTCTTGTATTATTTGCTCAAAATGGTTTTGTAAAATATCCTTTCAAAATAGCTGTCCAACCAAAGCATGTTTGAAAAGAATAGAGAGAAGAAGGAAATGAAGAAGAAAGACAAAGATAGTATGGTGAAGAATAAAGAAAGAATGAAGAGAAAGAAGAAGACTGGAGAAAACAGACTGAGTGACATGATGATTAAGAGGATTAAAGTAGAAAATGGTGTGGAGACTATCATCAAGAAAAAGAAACTGCAGCAACAGAAGAAAAAAGAATTGTTATCAGACAATAAAGACTTCCTCAAATGTATGTTTAAAATATCAACTCAGGGTTGTTTAGTTCTATTTTAACTGAATTATTTATATTTTTAAGTTGTACTGAACTGAGTAATAGTATTAGATTGTGACTATACAGTTATTTGTGGCTTGTGCAAAACTCAAAAAAAAATTTCATCAGCTTTATCATTTTGGGAATATTATTAGAGCTGGACTAAACATCCTAGTATTTCTACTTAAGAAGATTTCTGACATTTTTTATTTAATTTCTTTCAGTGAAGCTGAAGGGCTCAGGTGATGCTGGTACTCCTGGGCTTGAGGGAAAACCAAAATTAAAGAAAAAGAAAAAACTTCTGAAAAATGCTCCAGCAGTTAGTCCACCATCTACAGGAGGACCACCTCCAACTACTGAGCCATCAGAGGCTGGAGTTTCAGCAGGTGCTACTCCTGGAGGTGGAGGCACTCTTAATAACAAGCCAAAGGAGAGGAGACCAAAAATGAGAAGGGAGAGAAAAGTTAAAGAAGAGCTTGTCATGATGGATGACAGTGATGATAATGATGAGGATTGCTCAGCTTTCAAATGTCTCAGACCAACAGGTGAGTGAATCTGATGGACAGTGTTAACAGATGATCCTATAGAAATGTTAGTCCCTGGAAATGCTGTAGGATGTGGTCTAATTAATGCTTTGTAAAGAAAAAATGAAAACAATCCAGTCAGTTTTATTCTCTCTAGTGTAGAGCTACTTTAATGTACAAAAGCTTGTTCCATTGTAAGATGCATGTCATTAATGTTATTGTTTTTGTCTGAACAATTTCGTTTGGGGGGGGGGGATTAGCATTTTACATTTGTTATTTGTTGACCAATTTAGTTGATTTTTTAAATGGTGGTTTATATGTACATAGTAATGAATATTTGAATGATGTTATTGAATGCCTATACTCCACAGGGGAAGCTGTGAATTGGGTGCAGTGTGACCGCTGTGAACTATGGTTCCATCTTCTCTGTGTTGGCCTCAAAAAAGAGGAACTTCGCGATGATGAGGATTATGTTTGTTTCAGCTGTCGAGAGGGGAGCAGTGTGGCCCTGGTGGGATCCCCTGGCAAGAGTGGCTCCGGGGACTCTCCCATGGGGGCAGACAAGATAAAGAAAGAGCCAACTGATCATGTGTTTGATGCTAGCCCACCATGTTCTCCTAGTGTGAGGGCAGCCGCAGAAAAAGCAATCTCCGATGTCGTGGAAGCCGTGGCCGCAAGCTCCAAGGAGCGTAGATTGGAAGCAGAGAAAAGAGTGGAGGCTGTAGAATCAATGATGCAGTTGGAGAGAGGGATACCCTCTGCTGATTCTTGCCCTCCCTCTGGTGGTGTGTCAGAAAGTATGTGTACCTCCACTTGTGCTGACACGCCTGCAGAAGTTGGTCAAGTACCTACAGGAGCCGCCGCCAAATCAGGAACAGATGAAGATGATGATGTCCTTGTTGTTAATGCTGAACCACAGGAAGAAATAGAGATGGAAATAGAGGATGATGAGGAGGAGGACAAGGCAGAGAAAAATGAAGATGATAATGAAGGGGAAGAAGAGGAGGATGAGGACATAGATGATGAGAATGAAGAAGATGATGATGAGGAAGATGGGGAAGAAGAGGATGATGATGAGGATGATGAAGAGGATGATGATGAAGATGAAGATGAGTTAGTTTTGGATGAAGATGAAGAGAAAATGTCACATAGTGGTGAGGGTGAGGACAATGCAGCAGAAGAGGAGGTCATAGAACTAGCAGAGGAGAGCAAACAGGAAGAGAGCCGATTTTGTACAGAGAATACTGGTGTGGAAGAAAATGTGATCAAGGAAGTTGTGCACACTCCAGAAGTGGAAGGAGTTCTTACTGCCTCCAAAGAAGCTGCTTCCCCATGTATAGAGACTGGAAGTTCTGCCCTTGGGGACAGCTCCTGACACTAACCTTCTCTGTTTCACATCATGTGGCAGGCAGTGAATGTTGGGTCATTGTGTGAAAGTGTTTATTATCCTCATCCCATGCCACCAATCTTCCTGTCATATTCACTTAAAAAAATAACTATAAATACATATACGTATTCATTCATCTTCATTTCTCTTGCTTCAAGTTCTCATTTTAATGGCTTTTGATTATTTTGGTATGTGTTTCATGAAACTATCTATTTCATGGTTAATTCAGGTTTTTTCTATTGAGATTTATTCTTGTTAGAGTCTTATAACATGTCCAATAATTGTCTTTAACTGAAGAGCTAGGCAAGTCCTCAGAAAATGATGCACCTTAATTGTATAATCATGGTACAATCACATATTTGGGTGATTTGTTGTATTGTTTGCGTGAGTCATGAAAAAGTCTGATTATTCCACATATGCTTTGGCAATGTTTTATTCAATAGAATAATAAACTAGCTAGAGACAAAGACCCACTTTTTTAAAGAGATTACAAAATATTTTTTTTTTCTTGCTCATGCTTAGTCAAAATTCTGTGATTCATAAATTGTTCATGTATGATTATTATTATTTTTGTAAACCTTAAAATGATACTAAAATTACTTCATTTCAAAAGACACACAATGCAGTGATTCTTGTATTAATACTAACATTCTAGAACTTGCAAATTGATGCAAAAGTAATGAATTCTTCTCACTGATATTCATGGTCAGTTCAGTATTTAGAAAATCAATAATTGAGTTAAGATAATACAAAGATGATCTTGTTGTTTTTCCATCCCCGAAATATTTCTTACAATAAAATAGGAATTTTTTTTCATTACCGGTATTGATTAAGAAATTTTCCATTAAAGATTGCTTTATAATACATAATTTGGTAGAATTGCTTTATAAGACAGATTGAGATAGCAGTAGGCTAGTGACAGAAATGTTACAAGATCTCCTCAATGAACTTATAAATTTGTCATAATTTTTATTTTATTAGAATAACATACTGAATAATTGGGCCAGTGTTGTATGTGTTTGACTTGAGATGTCTGGCATATAAACATCTGATTACGAGGGCTGAGCCAGGTGCAGTTCTTTAAATAGCTTAATAACCCAGGGGTTCTCAAACTTTTTAGTGCCGCGACCCCTTTTATAAATTTTGCTAAGTGTTGTGCCAACAGGTATCATTAAAAAATTTTGAAATATGAAAAAAAACTGCCAAAATATTTATGTTAAATTAGCTGCTGACATCTACCAAATGAATAATTGTTTTATTTTCTGTATTGTAGCCAAGATTGTACAATAAGAAAAATAGTATCATCACTGATGATAATAATGAAATTGAAAATTCAAAAACAGAAATAATGCACATTGTACGCACAAACTCCCCAATTTCTGAATTTCTCAAGCGACATTTTGTTACATGATTCCAAGGAGATCACGACCCGCAGGTTGAGAATCACTGCCTTAACATAACAAATCACAGATGGAGCTGAGCTGCGCTAAATGCTGGTTACTGGTTGGTAGTAGCAGTTTTCATTTTTCTGCTACCAACATACATCTATTATTTTAATAAATATTTACATCATTATCATGGCAACACCATTCCAGACTTCCTTCAGTTAAGCGATTTGTTTCTCGTTTTAAATGAGTTTTAAATAACATTACTATTATTGAATAATATGAGAGAACTTAGAAATGATCTAGAGAGATGCAAAACAACTTTTGGCTAATCAGTGTCATCAGCCAGTTAGCATTTGAAATGAATAAATATTAATTTTGAATAGTAAGAGCCATGGTCATAAACAAAGATATGGATCTTGTTAAGATAAGTTATTACAAAAAATGTGCAGCATTTACATTATTATATTCAGAGCTTTGCAGTTTCATTTATTAGCTTACATTTGATTTGCACTGATATTTTTATTATTTATTTAATTCAAAAAAAATTTACAAACAAATTATGTAAAAAAAAAGAAAGGATGTACTGGTTCTAGATGGGTAGAACACATTCTATAAATAAGAAGATAATTCTTTTATTTTTAAACACCTGGACCAGGTTTTTTTTTTTTGCCAGGTCCGGGTGTGCTAATACACGGCATTGCCCAGTATCTGGGTCAGCACCCGGCTCGGCCCTATTACTCTTGGCAGACGCATGAATACAACATTCAATTGAGATGTTCAATTACTACAAAAACGCATTGAAATTTGAGATGATTGAAATGAACATTTTCTTGATGGTTTAACAAATTAAAATAAATGACAATAGCCTCAAGTATCAATACTTGACAAGATTTTGTTTAACACATTTCAAGTATTGCTTAGTTCAAATGGAGAGGTCATTTTAAAGTATTATTATTTTTTTTATAAACATTTTCAAAAGTTAAATTTTCTTTTGAAATTAGTTTGAATATTCAATGCACGGGGCAATTCTTACACACAATCTTTCATTTTATCATAAATATTGAAGGTTGAGTGTAAAAAGTGCCTTTTTTTTTTTACATGGTCTCTTGATTCAGTTCAAGAACTTGCAGTGAAGTCTCTGGTTGAGAATTTTAATTTTTGATTAGTTTAATTACAACTTCACAACCTAACATACACTTAACTGTAGATGAATATTTCACTGGTCAAATCAACTGTTTTATATTAATTATTTCTCTGGGGCTGGCTGTGGATTTCATCAAAACATTTGCACCAAAAAAAAACTATCAGTTTATATTTGACCACAATGTGGGAAATCATAACTGTTAAGTAGTAAATTATGAAGCCATCTCAGAAACTCACTGTTAAGTAGTTTGATGAACTTTCATCCCAGGATCAAATCTACAGTGATAATTTAAACATTTTCTATTATTTGACTGCTTGGAATTGAGCTTAAACTATTTTCACTGCAAAGTGTTTATTGGAAAAATATAATTGCCATTGTCAGTTGTAAATTTTTTTTTTCCCAGTATTTTTAGTTATGGAAAACTTCTGAAAATTCCTGAAAAAAAGTCCTTTTAGTCATCCTATTTATTGAAAAACTCTCATCCGAATATCATGAATCATTTCACCCAATCACCTGTCAAGGTTTTGCCCAGAAATCTGTGATACACTAAGAAGCATCTAGACACATTGATTATTTCATTTTGCTTTTAACTTACGTTACTGGTGTTTTTTTTCTTCATATTTCATCTTATAAGCCTTAAACTAAAAGTAGCTATTGCCAAACCCCCCCCCTCTATGACTATGTATCAAACTTTGGATGGCTTCAAAGGCCTTACTTGTCAAATACAGTGATTTATTTAAACAAATAAAAATGTCCATTAATTGGTATATTCAGATTTTGTTTCATGTAGAAATAACAGGCGCTAAGCAGTTTATTCCTAGCTTTCTCTGATGGATGGTGTACAATGGTTACATATTCAAATGTATATCTCTTTGATCATTTCCATTTTTTTTTTGGTCATTATTTTACCCGGGAATATAACTGTAATGAAATGAAAGGGAAGGACAGTAGCCTATATTAATGTCTGTGAAGTGGCTGCTATGATTGAGTCGAGCAGCTTGTAAGTATGTTGTGTAACATATCACCATGAAATAGTTGATACCAGTTGTACATATTAGTTGTACCGGTATCAACAATGGGTAATGGCAGTTAAATTATATGCATTACATGTGGCAATATCTGTTGGATAATTTATACGTTGAATGTTACAATCGCAATTGTCGGGTAGTAAAGATAGGTGAGGCAAACAATCAGTTTCAGATGAATTTGGATGTGACAAACATTGTAACTATGTGATGTAGTGACAAAGATGTGTTGACTAGTTAGCAGCTTTTGTTTTAAATTTTGATGCATTTGCTGAAATTTTCATTTGGAATACCACCTTTCTAGTGGGTGATCTTACTATTGTTTGTATGTTTTATAGTTTTGGCAAGATAATTTTCTACAAATCAACCAAGTAGTGTATGCCATGTAAACGATGCCAAGAATGGTTGCATGGGCAAATAAGAAGTAAAAAATTGTGTGGCTGTATGAATCCCAAGGGTTGCTAATATATATTTTGGCATATTTCCATCTCTGTTTGGCAATGAATGTGTGTGTTATACCTCGATAATATACACTGTAAACTAGGAAGTCAATGTAAATCGTCCTAAGAGTGAATTCCTTCACAAACTTGATTATTTATAAATATTGTATTCATTTATTCAAAACATTTATTCAAACATTGTAATTTTAATTTCTGATATTGTCAGCATGTCACCATGCAAAATCTATTGTCATGTATCCATTGAAAGTAAAACCATTTATCTTTTTGTTGTTCCATTAAAAAACTATTTATATCCAATGCCATCCTTGTGTGTCTCCCCAACCATTAACCAATCAAATTACCAGGAATAGTTGAAGTAGTACATTGCAATGAGGTTAAATGAATTAATGTTACTGAGAAAGAAAAGAATTGTGAGCAAACATTTGTGTTGTCAGTGGATCAGCGGTTGGTCATGTAAACATATGTTCATGTTTATTATAACAATTATTTACTGATAGGTTCTTGAGAAATCAATTAAAAAAAGACTCAATTTTTCAACTACAAATTGTCTTCTTTTGAGTACATGTCTTATATTTGTTACATTAAAAACATCTTATATTTGTTACAATTATAACACGCTCAACATCATTAGTCATATTTTTGGTATTAAATCTAAAATTTATCATTTTTCATTCATGGCCTTAATGGCCACTGAAATTGGTTGCTTTTTATAATTATTAATTTGGATACAAAAATGTCCTTAGTCTCTTTCATTGATGACAGTATTACATTTCTTAAGTTTTTATAAGAATATCAGAATTCTACCTCAAAATAATGTTGACAAGTTGCACAACCAGGTCTCAGATTTAACCATAGATTCTTATTGAAACTATAAATTGTAACTTGGACCACCAAACTAAATTTTATTGTTCCTCAAAGCAAGTTCACAAACATGCAGCTCATGGATTTCACACAAAAAGGTTAAACAAAACATTTTTTTTTATTAGAAAAATTCTTTTATACATTACTAACTCACACATTATCTATGCACATGTAATTGTACAACCTTTATAATATATTGTTTCCCTGGAACAAACAGGATACTTAAAAAGGTTTCTTTCATCCAGTTCTACATTAGTCACTTGTATACTAATAGTACTAATATTATCAATATAACCAGAGTGTTGGTTCACAAACTTATTGCCTTATGATTTCTAGGTCACTACCAGTAAAACAAGTGGCGTCAAGTTAGACCTGCAGGGATCATTCTATTACTCTACTCAGTCTTTCACATTTTTGACATTTATATCAAGAGCTGTCTTCACAATATCACATTTTAAATAAATATTCTGCTTGATTTTTATTTTAACACTCTTGGATACAAAGAAAAGTTTTCTGTGATCAGCTACAAACAACTTTTGATGTCAGAACACCATGTTCTTGAGAGACACAACTGAACAAACAAGTTGAGTGGAAAGGTTTCAGCTAAAGGTCACTAAAAAATGGAAATCAGGTCATATTTAAAATGTGCATGACATTCCAAGTGAAATTTGTATGTGTGGAATCAAGTGACATTCCATTTATTAATAACTCCACAGCTCAAGAAAAAATGGGGTGCTAGTACAACTTGGCAGCTTGGAGATTTCAGCATATTGATCAAATTTAAATAAATCAAAGTGTATTATGTGGCGGGATATTTACAATATTTGTACACCTCTAGACAACTTGGCAGTGAAGACAAAAAAACGAACACATTAGATGCGTTATTTAATTGTTGCACTTCAATAGTTTCTGGTGGAAAACTACCACCCCATTAAGATATTCTGCTGTGCACTACCAAATGGTTGGTAATTCACATTATAAGTTCTAGCTATGGCCAACATATGAGAGGAGAACCATCTCAAGTCTGGTAAGCAGTTCAAACCAAATAAACGAGAAGCCTATGAAACATAGTATGTTGACTTTCTTATTCTTTTATGATGCTAATTGGTAAGGGCAGTATAAGGAACTGCACACAAATGGAGACAAAGTAAAATTAATAAAGATAACTGCAAACCAACTGCAAGTCACACATGCGAACCTTCAGAGATAAAAAACAGATACAAAATACCAATTAATCCCTTAATAATAATAGGCAATTCAAGTCCATGTAATTAGTTTTAGATTGTCAGGGGATTTTTATTTCCATTATTGATAAATAGTCAAAAATAAAAAGCAACACTGCCAATGTGCTATCATCACAAAATTAATCACAAAAAATTTGAATGTGAAACAGTTCAAGATGTGACAGTGCACTTTATTCATTTTGAAACCATTGGTAGACAAATGAGCTAACACCAAAAGATTCATTAGTTTTGTGTGTTGCGCGTTTTTTTTAAAATCAAATTTAAAAAAAAATGCTATCCAAGTTTCCAGGGAGGATTATTAGAGAAATAAATGTTAAATTATTGTTAATGTTGAATAAACGAGTTCATATAATTGAAATTGTTTTTAATTGAAATTGTTTTTATAACCCAAATGTTCATTATTTAATTCTGTAGAATCAATTTTAGGTCATAAATATTCCAAGTTATATGTTCAACAGTTTTAACTTTGGAAAATGGATTTGATCAAAGTAATACTACCAAAAAGGAAGACTTCTGGGTTTGATTATTCAGTTTAAGAATTCAAATTGCATGTAAAACTTATGTTGGCAGACAGATGTGTTGTCATATAGGTCTTACAAGTCAGACAAATGATGGTTTTAACATTCCTCCTTACAATTTATATTATTAAATAAAACTTTGAATTACACAGACAGACACTGGAACAAACTTTCCCAACCAATGATGTTCTAGTTTTTAAAACAAAATTAATTGTTTTAATGAGAGCCAAATACTCTCAACCAATATTATACTCTGGTATGGTACATGTTTTAAAAAATATCGGTACCATAAAATCATTTTGCAGAGAGTTAGGCATTTCAATGAAAATGTTATTAGTGAAAAAACAAAGGATGCAATTTTAGTTTAATACTTTTAATTTATGATTTGTTTTGTTATGTGATTCATAGTAAACTTGGTCAAGATGAGAAATATTTTGAAGTTAGAATGTACACAAACATAGTAAATGACACTTATGAACTAAACCTCAAACATAAGACAATTTATACAACCAATTTCATGTAAAATAAAAATCAAATGTTATTTTAAGCTTTAAAAACAGCAAACAAATTTATGTTAGTGACTTGAGAAACTTCCAGCACAGTATTTGAAGAGAGCAAGGATGTAGCAGATTTTAATATTTTGCATACCTTTTTTTTATATATATCTGGCATCCATAATTTGAGCTATTTCTAGAATGTGCACTATTTAAAAAAACAACAAAAAAAACATGATTAAATTAGAAAAAAAAGGAAAAAAATTTTAAACTGCTTGAGTCTAAAAGGCTACTCATAAAGTAAATCTTGATAATCCCTTTAATTCAAATAAGTGAAAGACATTGGGTTGTGAACTGAATGCAAAACATGGGTGTTAAAATAGCACTTATTTAATATTTCTTATCTAAAAAGTCACCCTTTAAAAAATAAATTGATTTGAAATCAACAAACTTAATCTAATCCAACATTTTTTAAAATGAATAAACTGAATTTAATCAATAAAACTTAATCTAATAAACAATACTTTAAAAAAAAATAAATTCTGATTGGCATGAAGGTTTCTGGTAAATTTTTTAGTACATGATCAGAACAAAAAATTGTAAAAGATTTTAAATACTATAAAATGAATGAAATTTCTTTATTGTTTGTAGGTAAACTTTACTGTGGCAAAATTCACGCCAGATTATAGAGGTGAAAACTAATTTATCTACTTGATAAATAAATGATAAATAGTTTGGACAAGAATTTAATACAACTTGGCTTGCACTCTGCAAAAATGATGTCAATATTCAGGGGTTTGAGACCAATAATAACTCTGGTAATAAATTATTAGCGAGTTAGCAGGCAGTACAAAGTATCAAACATTCCAATTTGTTATTGACATTTTCCTTTACCAACTCTTTATCACACGTAACAGTCAAGCTTTTTTGGTCTTTTATTATACCATTATTTGGATATTTGACTTATTTTCTATTAAATGCCCAATTTCTGAATAGGTTCAATTCAAAACACTCTAGGATTGACCAAATTTATTTGAAAAAAAAAAAAGAGAGAAAATACAAAAATGTGCATCTTTGATGATGAGATGAAAGGTAGTGAATAATTAATTGACATTCATGCTTCACATTGGCATTTATTAGAACAATGTGGAAGGGTCAAATATTTCAAATACAATCAACTAAATATGAAAGAGATTGTGTTGTTGACAAAGCTGCATATTTAAAACATGGGTGGTCCCAAACTGTGAGGTGATGAAACATTCAAGCATCTGGTCTACTGTTATGGATTCAAAAGGTTAACATAAAGAAGTAGATACAAACATCCTGTACACAAGAAATAACACACTGGGAGTCACTAGAAGTTTGATACATAGGTTTTAGGTGCCTTCTTCAGTTGCCTCATTTTATAGTTTCCTGGTGTGTAGTGTGTCAGTATTAACATTGAACTGAATCAAATAAACAAATTAGCTAATGTGTCCTGCACATTTGTGTCCCATTGAATACTAAACGTTAGAAACATTCAGGTTGCTATCTCAAATCCTAGTGATATAATCCTCAAGGTAAAAATGTGTCATAAATTATGTCTCATTCATCAAACTTGGGTCCCATCAGGCAGACCAGGCCGTAAAACAATTGGTGCTCTGGGGGCTGGCTGTCTCTTGTTGCCACTCCCTAGGGGTGTGGCAGTGGGACTGGATGTAAACACATGACTCGGATGAGTGTCACTGCTGGTGCTACCAACACTACCAGACACCTGAAAGAAATGCCAGCAATTAATTGGGTTATACTCTGTTCAGTTTTTAGTACATTATATATCAACTTTATCAAAATTCAAAAGTCTGCTGTTAGGGACTTGAGTGTATAGTGTGATTGCGTGTTGGTTTGAGATTATGTGTGTTGTGTTATCCATTATTCTTGGTATCTTGTGACGTATTGTGTGGAAAAGGATATGACGTAGGGTAGTTAGTGGTGTTGGGGTTGTTGTGAGAAATGGCAGTTGAAGCTGTAACTTATTTATGTAATAAAGATATTTAAAATGACAATAATGGTTGGTGAAGTATATGTTATTTAAGCGCCCCTAGACAACGAAGCCAACGAACCTATTAAGTAAGAATAGGTTTGTAAAATCTGCCATGATCAAAAAGGTGGGAAACTTGGTTTTCCCTTCTTAAAAATATTCCACTTATTATATACTCTTCAATCTTTCTATTTTCTGTAAAGACACTGAAAAGGGATAACTGGATCTATAAGATAGACATAGCTTGAATTCTTTATTGCGTCCGTAACTACAGTACATTTTTCATGATTACTTTGATCCTTATAATGAATGAGTAACTATGAGGTCTGTATATGGTTGGCAGGTGTACTTCCAAAAAATAGCGGACCTTCCAAACAATAGTGGACAAGCAGAGGGGTAGGGGTGGGGGGTTTGAGTAGTAAAAATAAAAAAATGTCCACTATTTTGTGAAAAAA